GCTCTTTCAGAACAGAATCCTCGAAGCTCATCCTATGAAGGTTGTGTCAGGCTCCAAATTTATGTGGCATGGCGCTGTAGGTATGAACGAAAATTGATTACTCAAAGCGCCCCTTAACTCGCACTAGAGCAGTTTTGCCTTCAGTGATGCAGAACAGCGGAAATCGGCATCTCAGAATGTGAATAGTGCTCCTCCCTCGAAAGTGAGATCAAGAGGATCCGGAAAACCAGAAACCATTTTCAAGTTTCCTTTCGTCAAGTACTGAATTCCGGAGAGAGTATGTTTTGCATATGCAATCTCTTCCCGAGAATGCAGCTTATATATATTCTCCTTTTCTGCTCTTTCAGAACAGAATCCTCGAAAGCTCATCCTATGAAGGTTGTGTCAGGCTCCAAATTTATGTGGCATGGCGCTGTAGGTATGAACGAAAATTGATTACTCAAAGCGCCCCTTAACTCGCACTAGAGCAGTTTTGCCTTCAGTGATGCAGAACAGCGGAAATCGGCATCTCAGAATGTGAATAGTGCTCCTCCCTCGAAAGTGAGATCAAGAAGATCCGGAAACCAGAAACCATTTTCAAGTTTCCTTTCGTCAAGTACTGAATTCCGGAGAGAGTATGTTTTGCATATGCAATCTCTTCCCGAGAATGCAGCTTATATATATTCTCCTTTTCTGCTCTTTCAGAACAGAATCCTCGAAGCTCATCCTATGAAGGTTGTGTCAGGCTCCAAATTTTTGTGGCATGGCGCTGTAGGTATGAACGAAAATTGATTACTCAAAGCGCCCCTTAACTCGCACTAGAGCAGTTTTGCCTTCAGTGATGCAGAACAGCGGAAATCGGCATCTCAGAATGTGAATAGTGCTCCTCCCTCGAAAGTGAGATCAAGAGGATCCGGAAACCAGAAACCCTTTTCAAGTTTCCTTTCGTCAAGTACTGAATTCCGCGAGACGAGTAGTTTTTGCAATGCAATCTCTTCCCGGCAATGCAAGCTATATAAATAATATATATTCCTTTTCTGCCTTTTCAAGAACAGAATCCTTCAAAGCTCATCCTATGAAGGTTGTGTCAGGCTCCAAATTTATGTGGCATGGCGCTGTAGGTATGAACGAAAATTGATTACTCAAAGCGCCCCTTAACTCGCACTAGAGCAGTTTTGCCTTCAGTGATGCAGAACAGCGGAAATCGGCATCTCAGAATGTGAATAGTGCTCCTCCCTCGAAAGTGAGATCAAGAGGATCCGGAAACCAGAAACCATTTTCAAGTTTCCTTTCGTCAAGTACTGAATTCCGGAGAGAGTATGTTTTGCATATGCAATCTCTTCCCGAGAATGCAGCTTATATATATTCTCCTTTTCTGCTCTTTCAGAACAGAATCCTCGAAGCTCATCCTATGAAGGTTGTGTCAGGCTCCAAATTTATGTGGCATGGCGCTGTAGGTATGAACGAAAATTGATTACTCAAAGCGCCCCTTAACTCGCACTAGAGCAGTTTTGCCCTTTAAGTGATGCAGAACAGCGGAAATCGGCATCTCAGAATGTGAATAGTGCTCCTCCCTCGAAAGTGAGATCAAGAGGATCCGGAAACCAGAAACCATTTTCAAGTTTCCTTTCGTCAAGTACTGAATTCCGGAGAGTATGTTTTGCATATGCAATCTCTTCCCGAGAATGCAGCTTATATATATTCTCCTTTTCTGCTCTTTCAGAACAGAATCCTCGAAGCTCATCCTATGAAGGTTGTGTCAGGCTCCAAATTTGTGTGGCATGGCGCTGTAGGTATGAACGAAAATTGATTACTCAAAGCGCCCCTTAACTCGCACTAGAGCAGTTTTGCCTTCAGTGATGCAGAACAGCGGAAATCGGCATCTCAGAATGTGAATAGTGCTCCTCCCTCGAAAGTGAGATCAAGAAGATCCGGAAACCAGAAACCATTTTCAAGTTTCCTTTCGGCAAGTACTGAATTCCGGAGAGAGTATGTTTTGCATATGCAATCTCTTCCCGAGAATGCAGCTTATATATATTCTCCTTTTCTGCTCTTTCAGAACAGAATCCTCAAAGCTCATCCTATGAAGGTTGTGTCAGGCTCCAAATTTATGTGGCATGGCGCTGTAGGTATGAACGAAAATTGATTACTCAAAGCGCCCCTTAACTCGCACTAGAGCAGTTTTGCCTTAGGTGATGCAGAACAGCGGAAATCGGCATCTCAGAATGTGAATAGTGCTCCTCCCTCGAAAGTGAGATCAAGAAGATCCGGAAACCAGAAACCATTTTCAAGTTTCCTTTCGGCAAGTACTGAATTCCGGAGAGAGTATGTTTTGCATATGCAATCTCTTCCCGAGAATGCAGCTTATATATATTCTCCTTTTCTGCTCTTTCAGAACAGAATCCTCGAAGCTCATCCTATGAAGGTTGTGTCAGGCTCCAAATTTATGTGGCATGGCGCTGTAGGTATGAACGAAAATTGATTACTCAAAGCGCCTCTTAACTCACTCTAGAGCAGTTTTGCCTTAGGTGATGCAGAACAGCGGAAATCGGCATCTCAGAATGTGAATAGTGCTCCTCCCTCGAAAGTGAGATCAAGAAGATCCGGAAACCAGAAACCATTTTCAAGTTTCCTTTCGGCAAGTACTGAATTCCGGAGAGAGTATGTTTTGCATATGCAATCTCTTCCCGAGAATGCAGCTTATATATATTCTCCTTTTCTGCTCTTTCAGAACAGAATCCTCAAAGCTCATCCTATGAAGGTTGTGTCAGGCTCCAAATTTATGTGGCATGGCGCTGTAGGTATGAACGAAAATTGATTACTCAAAGCGCCCCTTAACTCGCACTAGAGCAGTTTTGCCTTAGGTGATGCAGAACAGCGGAAATCGGCATCTCAGAATGTGAATAGTGCTCCTCCCTCGAAAGTGAGATCAAGAAGATCCGGAAACCAGAAACCATTTTTCAAGTTTCGTTTCGGCAAGTACTGAATTCCGGAGAGAGTATGTTTTGCATATGCAATCTCTTCCCCAGATTGCAGCTTATATATATTCTCCTTTTCTGCTCTTTCAGAACAGAATCCTCGAAGCTCATCCTATGAAGGTTGTGTCAGGCTCCAAATTTATGTGGCATGGCGCTGTAGGTATGAACGAAAATTGATTACTCAAAGCGCCTCTTAACTCACTCTAGAGCAGTTTTGCCTTAGGTGATGCAGAACAGCGGAAATCGGCATCTCAGAATGTGAATAGTGCTCCTCCCTCGAAAGTGAGATCAAGAAGATCCGGAAACCAGAAACCATTTTTCAAGTTTCCTTTCGGCAAGTACTGAATTCCGGAGAGAGTATGTTTTGCATATGCAATCTCTTCCCGAGAATGCAGCTTATATATATTCTCCTTTTCTGCTCTTTCAGAACAGAATCCTCGAAGCTCATCCTATGAAGGTTGTGTCAGGCTCCAAATTTATGTGGCATGGCGCTGTAGGTATGAACGAAAATTGATTACTCAAAGCGCCTCTTAACTCGCACTAGAGCAGTTTTGCCTTAGGTGATGCAGAACAGCGGAAATCGGCATCTCAGAATGTGAATAGTGCTCCTCCCTCGAAAGTGAGATCAAGAAGATCCGGAAACCAGAAACCATTTTCAAGTTTCCTTTCGTCAAGTACTGAATTCCGGAGAGAGTATGTTTTGCATATGCAATCTCTTCCCGAGAATGCAGCTTATATATATTCTCCTTTTCTGCTCTTTCAGAACAGAATCCTCGAAGCTCATCCTATGAAGGTTGTGTCAGGCTCCAAATTTGGTGGCATGGCGCTGTAGGTATGAACGAAAATTGACTCAAAGCGCCTCTTAACTCACTCTAGAGCAGTTTTGCCTTAGGTGATGCAGAACAGCGGAAATCGGCATCTCAGAATGTGAATAGTGCTCCTCCCTCGAAAGTGAGATCAAGAAGATCCGGAAACCAGAAACCATTTTCAAGTTTCCTTTCGTCAAGTACTGAATTCCGGAGAGAGTATGTTTTGCATATGCAATCTCTTCCCCAGATTGCAGCTTATATATATTCTCCTTTTCTGCCCTTTCAGAACAGAATCCTCGAAGCTCATCCTATGAAGGTTGAAGGTTGTGTCAGGCTCCAAATTTATGTGGCATGGCGCTGTAGGTATGAACGAAAATTGACTCAAAGCGCCTCTTAACTCACTCTAGAGCAGTTTTGCCTTAGGTGATGCAGAACAGCGGAAATCGGCATCTCAGAATGTGAATAGTGCTCCTCCCTCGAAAGTGAGATCAAGAAGATCCGGAAACCAGAAACCATTTTCAAGTTTCGTTTCGGCAAGTACTGAATTCCGGAGAGAGTATGTTTTGCATATGCAATCTCTTCCCCAGATTGCAGCTTATATATATTCTCCTTTTCTGCCTTTCAGAACAGAATCCTCGAAGCTCATCCTATTGAAGGTTGTGTCAGGCTCCAAATTTGTGTGGCATGGCGCTGTAGGTATGAACGAAAATTGACTCAAAGCGCCTCTTAACTCACTCTAGAGCAGTTTTGCCTTAGGTGATGCAGAACAGCGGAAATCGGCATCTCAGAATGTGAATAGTGCTCCTCCCTCGAAAGTGAGATCAAGAAGATCCGGAAACCAGAAACCATTTTCAAGTTTCGTTTCGGCAAGTACTGAATTCCGGAGAGAGTATGTTTTGCATATGCAATCTCTTCCCCAGATTGCAGCTTATATATATTCTCCTTTTCTGCCTTTCAGAACAGAATCCTCGAAGCT